CAATGGGAGGCCGTACAGGGACCCATGACACACTCTGGACCTGGCAGCAGCATGGGGAGGCGGTACAGGGGCCCATGACAGATTACGGGCCTGGCAGCAGCATGAGGAGTCGGTACGGGGGCCCATGACACACTCTGGACCTGGCAGCAGCATGAGGAGGCGGTACAGGGGCGCATGACAGATTACGAGCCTGGCAGCAGCAACTTGGACAGGAGGACGTTCAGCTTCTGCACCGTCGGGTGCGTGCTCGCAAACTGTTGTCTCTTGGAAACGGATTCCAAGAAAGACTGCTGACGGAATCCGTGAAGAGGAGTAGCAGGAGAAGGAGCATCTGAACGAGCGGAATATGCCAACAAGCGACAACAGTGGCCCATGACAGATTACGGGCCTGGCAGCAGCATGAGGAGTCGGTACGGGGGCCCATGGCAGATTACGGGCCTGGCAGCAGCTATGGGAGGCCCGTAATCTGCCAGCACCCTATGACAAAAAATGGAACCCACCAGCAGTGTGAGGAGACCTGAAAGTGGCACATGGCAGAGTGTGGCGATGGAGACAGCAGCAATGGGAGGCCGTACAGGGACCCATGAGAGACTCTGGACCTGGCAGCAGCATGAGGAGGCGGTATAGGGGGGGCCCATGGCAGATTAGGGGCCTGGCAGCAGCTATGGGAGGCCCGTAATCTGCCAGCACCCTATGACAAAAAATGGAACACACCAGCAGTGTGAGGAGACTGAAAGTGGCACATGGCAGAGTGTGGCGATGGAGGCAGCAGCAATGGGAGGCCGTACAGGGACCCATGAGAGACTCTGGACTTGGCAGCAGCATGAGGAGGCGGTATAGGGGCCCATGGCAGATTAGGGGCCTGGCAGCAGCTATGGGAGGCCCGTAATCTGCCAGCACCCTATGACAAAAAATGGAACACACCAGCAGTGTGAGGAGACCTGAAAGTGGCACATGTTTGGGGCATGATTCATGGCGGATTTAGTCAGTTGTGTCAGGAACTGGTGGTTTGAAATCCAGACTAATCCACGCCTGATTCATTTTCACAAACGTGAGTCTCTCCACACTTTGGGTGGACAGTCGTGTCCTCCGCGGAGTTGCAATACCTCCTGCCGCACTAAACACGCGCTCCGATGCCACGCTACTGGCCGGGCATGACAGCCTTTCAAGGGCAAATTCAGCTAGTTGGGGCCAAAGGTCAAGTTTCGTTGCCCAGTAGTCAAGGGGATTGTCTACCTCGGTTGGCAGGGTGCTGTCCAAGTAGGCCTAAGCCTGTTGTTTGAGGTCCTGCTCCAGGTCCACCTGATGCTGCTGCTGCTGCTGCGGCTGGTTAGTAGTTTCCTCACTGCGCTGGTGAAGAAAGCTACTCATCATCGACTGCAGACTGAGGCAGCCGCTGCTGGTGGAGCTGCCACTGCTCCTACCACCCCCCACCCCCCCCCTCCCCTGCTGCCATGGCAGCGGAACACGAGCGCACAGGGCCCACAGTGTCTGAGGATGGACGTTGGCGCAGACAGGCAGAGACCAGCTGACTACATAGGTGTTTTTTTATAGTACGTTATTTTGGCCTCCCTCTCAGCAGGTGTGAAAAAGGCCACCATTTTTGAACGGTAGCGAGGGTCCAACAAGGTGGACAGCCAAAAGTCATCCCTCTGTCTGATGGTTATTATTCGGCTGTCGCTACGCAAGCAACCGAGCATGCTATGGGCCATTTGTGCCAAGGAATGCGAGGGACTCCCTGCCTCCATCTCCACAGCATACTGCCACGGTGCGTCTAGGTCCTCTGTCTCCTCTTCCTCCTCCTCTACCAGATGCTCCTGCTCCTCCACTCCTGTCCGCTGAGTGGAAAAACCACCCATTTCACTCAATAATTCCTGAGCACCAATGTCCTCCTCTACCTCCTCCTCTTCTTCCAGTCCTGCCCCCACAGGGGCCATGTGGCGTTGAGATCTGTGCGCCACGTCTACCGCACCCTGACCAGCCATTGTTAACAGCATTTGTTCCAGGACGTGCAACAGAGGAATGACGTCGTTCATCCCATAGTCCTGCCGACTCACGAATAGCGTGGCCTCCTCAAAGGGCCTGAGCAAGCGCAGGTGTCACGCATGAGCTGCCAATGGCTGACATCTAAGTTACACAGGGAGTACCTTTATCTGCTTTTAACATCAGGAAATCTGTGATGGCCTTTTGCTGTTCGTAAAGGCGGTCTAACATATGTAGGGTTGAATTCCACCTTGTTGCAACGTCACAGCATGAGGAGTCGGTATAGGGGCCCATGGCAGATTAGGGGCCTGGCAGCAGTTATGGGAGGCCCATAATCTGCCAGCACCCTATGACAAAAAATGGAACACACCAGCAGTGTGAGGAGACCTGAAAGTGGCACATGGCAGAGTGTGGCGATGGAGACAGCAGCAATGGGAGGCCGTACAGGGACCCATGAGAGACTCTGGACCTGGCAGCAGCATGAGGAGGCGGTATATATAGGGGCCTACGGCAGATTAGGGGCCTGGCAGCAGCTATAGGAGGCCCGTAATCTGCCAGCACCCTATGTCAAAAAATTCAACACACCAGCAGTGTGTGAGGAGACCTGAAAGTGGCACATGGCAGAGTGTGGCGATGGAGACAGCAGCAATGGGAGGCCGTACAGGGACCCATGACAGACTCTGGACTTGGCAGCAGCATGAGGAGGCGGTATATAGGGGCTTATGGCAGATTAGGGGCCTGGCAGCAGCTATATATAGAGGCCCGTAATCTGCCAGCACCCTATGTCAAAAAAAAAATTCACACACAGCAGTGTGAGGAGACCTGAAAGTGGCACATGGCAGAGTGTGGCGATGGAGACAGCAGCAATGGGAGGCCGTACAGGGACCCATGACAGACTCTGAACTTGGCAGCAGCATGAGGAGGCGGTATATAGGGGCCCATGGCAGATTAGGGGCCTGGCAGCAGCTATAGGAGGCCCGTCTGCCAGCACCCCCCTATGTCAAAAAATTCAACACACCAGCAGTGTGAGGAGACCTGAAAGTGGCACATGGCAGAGTGTGGCGATGGAGACAGCAGCAATGGGAGGCCGTACAGGGACCCATGACAGACTCTGGACTTGGCAGCAGCATGAGGAGGAGGCGGTATATAGGGGGCCCATGGCAGATTAGGGGCCTGGCAGCAGCTATGGGAGGCCCGTAATCTGCCAGCACCCTATGTCAAAAAATTTAACACACCAGCAGTGTGTGAGAGACCTGAAAGTGGCACATGGCAGAGTGTGGCGATGGAGACAGCAGCAATGGGAGGCCGTACAGGGACCCATGACAGACTCTGGACTTGGCAGCAGCATGAGGAGGCGGTATATAGGGGCCCATGGCAGATTAGGGGCCTGGCCTGGCAGCAGCTATGTGAGGCCCGTAATCTGCCAGCACCCTATGTCAAAAAATTTAACACACCAGCAGTGTGTGAGAGACCTGAAAGTGGCACATGGCAGCAGAGTGTGGCGATGGAGACAGCAATGGGAGGCCGTACAGGGACCCATGAGAGACTCTGGACTTGGCAGCAGCATGAGGAGGCGGTATATAGGGGCCCATGGCAGATTAGGGGCCCTGGCAGCAGCTATGTGAGGCCCGTAATCTGCCTGCACCCTATGTCAAAAAATTTAAAACACACAGCAGTGTGAAGAGACCTGAAAGTGGCACATGGCAGCAGAGTGTGGCGATGGAGACAGCAGCAATGGGAGGCGTACAGGGACCCATGACAGACTCTGGACTTGGCAGCAGCATGAGGAGGCGGTATATAGGGGCCCATGGCAGATTAGGGGCCTGGCAGCAGCTATGTGAGGCCCGTAATCTGCCTGCACCCTATGTCAAAAAATTTAACACACCAGCAGTGTGAAGAGACCTGAAAGTGGCACATGGCAGCAGAGTGTGGCGATGGAGACAGCAGCAATGGGAGGCCGTACAGGGACCCATGACAGACTCTGGACTTGGCAGCAGCATGAGGAGGCGGTATATAGGGGCCCATGGCAGATTAGGGGCCTGGCAGCAGCTATGTGAGGCCCGTAATCTGCCTGCACCCTATGTCAAAAAATTTAACACACACAGCAGTGTGAAGAGACCTGAAAGTGGCACATGGCAGCAGAGTGTGGCGATGGAGACAGCAGCAATGGGAGGCCGTACAGGGACCCATGACAGACTCTGGACTTGGCAGCAGCATGAGGAGGCGGTATATAGGGGCCCATGGCAGATTAGGGGCCTGGCAGCAGCTATGTGAGGCCCGTAATCTGCCTGCCCCCTGTCAAAAAATTTAACACACCAGCAGTGTGAAGAGACCTGAAAGTGGCACATGGCAGCAGAGTGTGGCGATGGAGACAGCAGCAATGGGAGGCCGTACAGGGACCCATGACAGACTCTGGACTTGGCAGCAGCATGAGGAGGCGGTATATAGGGGCCCATGGCAGATTAGGGGGGCCTGGCAGCAGCTATGTGAGGCCCGTAATCTGCCTGCACCCTATGTCAAAAAATTTAACACACACAGCAGTGTGAAGAGACCTGAAAGTGGCACATGGCAGCAGAGTGTGGCGATGGAGACAGCAGCAATGGGAGGCCGTACAGGGACCCATGACAGACTCTGGACTTGGCAGCAGCATGAGGAGGCGGTATATAGGGGCCCATGGCAGATTAGGGGCCTGGCAGCAGCTATGTGAGGCCCGTAATCTGCCTGCACCCTATGTGTCAAAAAATTTAACACACCAGCAGTGTGAAGAGACCTGAAAGTGGCACATGGCAGCAGAGTGTGGCGATGGAGACAGCAGCAATGGGAGGCCGTACAGGGACCATGACAGACTCTGGACTTGGCAGCAGCATGAGGAGGCGGTATATAGGGGCCCATGGCAGATTAGGGGCCTGGCAGCAGCTATGTGAGGCCCGTAATCTGCCTGCACCCTATGTCAAAAAATTTAACACACCAGCAGTGTGAAGACCTGAAAGTGGCACATGGCAGCAGTGTGGCGATGGAGACAGCAGCAATGGGAGGCCGTACAGGGACCATGACAGACTCTGACTTGGCAGCAGCATGCAGAGGAGGCGGTATATAGGGGCCCATGGCAGATTTAGGGGCCTGGCAGCAGCTATGTGAGGCCCGTAATCTGCCTGCACCCTATGTCAAAAAATTTAACACACCAGCAGTGTGAAGAGACCTGAAAGTGGCACATGGCAGCAGAGTGTGTGGCGATGGAGACAGCAGCAATGGGAGGCCGTACAGGGACCATGACAGACTCTGGACTTGGCAGCAGCATGAGGAGGCGGTATATAGGGGCCCATGGCAGATTAGGGGCCTGGCAGCAGCTATGTGAGGCCCGTAATCTGCCTGCACCCTATGTCAAAAAATTTAACACACCAGCAGTGTGAAGAGACCTGAAAGTGGCACATGGCAGCAGAGTGTGGCGATGGAGACAGCAGCAATGGGAGGCCGTACAGGGACCATGACAGACTCTGGACTTGGCAGCAGCATGAGGAGGCGGTATATAGGGGCCCATGGCAGATTAGGGGCCTGGCAGCAGCTATGTGAGGCCCGTAATCTGCCTGCACCCTATGTCAAAAAATTTAACACACCAGCAGTGTGAAGAGAGACCTGAAAGTGGCACATGGCAGCAGAGTGTGGCGATGGAGACAGCAGCAATGGGAGGCCGTACAGGGACCCATGAGAGACTCTGGACTTGGCAGCAGCATGAGGAGGCGGTATATAGGGGCCCATGGCAGATTAGGGGCCTGGCAGCAGCTATGTGAGGCCCGTAATCTGCCTGCACCCTATGTCAAAAAATTTAACACACCAGCAGTGTGAAGAGACCTGAAAGTGGCACATGGCAGCAGAGTGTGGCGATGGAGACAGCAGCAATGGGAGGCCGTACAGGGACCATGACAGACTCTGGACTTGGCAGCAGCATGAGGAGGCGGTATATAGGGGCCCATGGCAGATTAGGGGCCTGGCAGCAGCTATGTGAGGCCCGTAATCTGCCTGCACCCTATGTCAAAAAATTTAACACACCAGCAGTGTGAAGAGACCTGAAAGTGGCACATGGCAGCAGAGTGTGGCGATGGAGACAGCAGCAATGGGAGGCCGTACAGGGACCCATGACAGACTCTGGACTTGGCAGCAGCATGAGGAGGCGGTATATAGGGGCCCATGGCAGATTAGGGGCCTGGCAGCAGCTATGTGAGGCCCGTAATCTGCTGCACCCTATGTCAAAAAATTTAACACACACCAGCAGTGTGAAGAGACCTGAAAGTGGCACATGGCAGCAGAGTGTGGCGATGGAGACAGCAGCAATGGGAGGCCGTACAGGGACCCATGACAGACTCTGGACTTGGCAGCAGCATGAGGAGGAGGCGGTATATAGGGGCCCATGGCAGATTAGGGGCCTGGCAGCAGCTATGTGAGGCCCGTAATCTGCCTGCACCCTATGTCAAAAAATTTAACACACCAGCAGTGTGAAGAGACCTGAAAGTGGCACATGGCAGCAGAGTGTGGCGATGGAGACAGCAGCAATGGGAGGCCGTACAGGGACCATGACAGACTCTGGACTTGGCAGCAGCATGAGGAGGCGGTATATAGGGGCCCATGGCAGATTAGGGGCCTGGCAGCAGCTATGTGAGGCCCGTAATCTGCACCACCCTATGTCAAAAAATTTAACACACCAGCAGTGTGAAGAGACCTGAAAGTGGCACATGGCAGCAAGTGTGGCGATGGAGACAGCAGCAATGGGAGGCCGTACAGGGACCCATGACAGACTCTGGACTTGGCAGCAGCATGAGGAGGCGGTATATAGGGGCCCATGGCAGATTAGGGGCCTGGCAGCAGCTATGTGAGGCCCGTAATCTGCCTGCACCCTATGTCAAAAAATTTAACACACCAGCAGTGTGAAGAGACCTGAAAGTGGCACATGGCAGCAGAGTGTGGCGATGGAGAGCAGCAATGGGAGGCCGTACAGGGACCATGACAGACTCTGGACTTGGCAGCAGCATGAGGAGGCGGTATATAGGGGCCCATGGCAGATTAGGGGCCTGGCAGCAGCTATGTGAGGCCCGTTATCTTGCAGCACCCTATGTCAAAAAATTTAACACACCAGCAGTGTGAAGAGACCTGAAAGTGGCACATGGCAGCAGAGTGCAGCAGCTATGTGAGGCCCGTAATCTGCCTGCACCCTATGTCAAAAAATTTAACACACCAGCAGTGTGAAGAGACCTGAAAGTGGCACATGGCAGCAGAGTGTGGCGAT